TATATATATATGTATATGTATATATGTATATATGTATATATACAGTATATGCACAATTTATAGCTGCCACATGCATATAATTAGGCTTTGCAAATAATAAGCAATTATGCAGTTAATTTTGTAATCAATAAATATTGCACTGTTGTCCACTAAGCAATTACGTGCAGTTGCCATACATCATGCTTGCTTGCTAGGCAGTTTTGCAAGCATAAATTGAATATTTTTATTTCCCAGCCACAGACACCTGAATTATTCTGGCCATTAGAAAACAGTATTCTATTTACCAAAAGTAATTTAATTTTTATATTTCCATTTCTTTGGGTTGTGAGAGAGGAGAAAACTAAAACGGTCCCGGTTCTCCTTATCTGCACGCATGTTGTGTCATGAAGTAGGGAATTGAGTTTAAAAAAAGCAAACCCACAAAGCCTCTGATGTTTCTTCTGCAGAGAATTTTTTTGTTTGAAAACCCCTCTCTAAGCAGACACACCAACAGGTCTTTGGGATCTTTCAAGAACTGGTATGATAGACCTCACAGATCTGAGGTGCCACCACCCAGCAGGTCCTGCTGTTTTAACTCCCCACATCATCTCAGATGGTAATGATACTTAAAGGGACACCATCCGGATGATTTCCACCACTTGGGGGGAATAATCCAGAGATCCTTTTGTGGAGGCAGGCCATCTCAGGTGTTTTTAAGAGGTAGAGCTACCCCCAGACGAGACACTGGTAGGTGATGAGTGTTACTGTAAGGATTTATTATTTATTTCATTTGTTTATTTGTACCGTTTATTAAGAATCAAGATACTTTCAAGTCCCACAACCTTCTACGGGAGTTTCTGCCTTTTTAAAAATCCCCTTTTCAGAGGTTTCTCCATTAGCAAAATGTCCTCCGTTTATTCTAGAAATATCCTGCACATAATTCCTAAGATACTGCACAGGAACAGAGACCATACTCAACACCCCTTGTCAGTTTTAAGTTCTTAGACTAACACAACTATTTGCAACTGAGAAGAGTTAAGTACCTGAAATTGACATGACCAACATCTGCTGCCAAACTAATGGGACCCTTTGAAGCAAACTAATGGGACCCTTTGAAACTGACAGCAACAGCGAAAAGAATAAAAAATCCTGCAGAGGGTAATATTGTGGATAGTGGCAACTGCAGGACTGCCAAAGTTAATTCTGTGCAGGAAATCAGTGTAAAGAGGAGAAGGGATAGTGTTCAGCTTTTCTCTCTGTAGCTTCTCCTCCAGGACATCTCTCAGTGTTTATGGAGGTCCGGGGGGCAAAATGTGAAAAACAACTGGGACCAAATACATGCCACGTCCCAAACTCTCACATCCTCCTCCATGCTGGAAAGTTCTTCTTAGCACAGCAGCTTATATATATCTCAAACTCAGCATAAAAGGAAATAGGGATGAGGAAGGCAAAGGAAAACAAGGGAAAACGCAGGCTTGGATTCTTAGTATTATAACGCTTCTCATGAACGATGATGGTAAGAGGCAAAGCCTGCTGGAATTGGCTTCTTGTGAGACTGGAGAATGGCCCTGTTTCCTTCGCTTATACTACACTTCAGTACATTGAATTCACATTTTTAAGCATGCCACTTCTCTATCCATCCATCAGGGTTAGAAACTCCTTCCCTTGTCAAATCCCCACCCCCCCAAAAAAACTTGTTGCATCCCTGGGTTCTGTTAGGGATATGCTAGGATGACTCGTGCACAGAAGCTCAAAGAAGGGCCCTAAAAATCCACGGGTGGCTGTGATTATTTGGCAAGCCAAGGGTTGCTTAGTGGTTAATCATCTGCTTTGCATGCACAAATTCCTTGGCATTTCATTTTCCAGTTAAAAGGGGTCTGTAGCAAAGAATGTTTGGAGACCTGCTGCTAGGCAGAAGAGACAATGCTATCAAATTATGGATCCCAGTTACCAACGATGAGAGATTATTGCTGAATTCTGACCAAGGATGCCTGCTTGGATGGTGGCTTGTCAAGGTGGAGAACAGGGCCCGGCATCCCACCTACCCCTGTGCCCCATCAAGCCTCCAGGCAGTTCCGACAATCTTGATTCCTTTGGCTTTACATTTCCTTAGGAGCAAGGCAGGTTGAAAAATGTTCAGTCCTCCTGCGCGTGACCTCCACTTAAATCACTAGTGAAGTAAAAAGTTGCCTACTCGTAAGTACATAAGTGCTAACAAGCTTAGGAACAAGCTGCTGTTTCCTCTCCCTCTGACTGGCCAATTAACACGCTAAATTCCATGGAGCCGTCAAAGTCGAAAGCTTTGTTTGGGGGGGGGTGAGGAGGAGCCGGGCAAGATGTATTCCTGAAAGGTGTCTCAACATGAAATTTTAATTCTTGTTATATCTAGAAAGCGGTTTTGATGGGGGGGGGAGAGAAAGTCACAACTGCTGTTTGATATCTCTGAAGAATCAAAGGCAGCTTTGATTTGAAAGAAACCTTTGATTTCAGCACGGGGGCGGGGTGGGTGTGAAGGAACAGAAAGGCAGCGGAGAGAGTCGGGTATCCCCTTGGTTCCGTGCTTTGTTCCGACAAAATGTGACTTTTCTTATATGCCAGAAAAAAGAGAGGGGGGAACAATCTAAAGTTGTATTAAATTGCCACTTAATGTATAGTTCTTTACAACCCTGGCTGGGCAACCTGGTCCCTCGCAGGTTTTGTTAGGAAGTGACTCCCATCCGCGTTGGATTGCATGGCCAGTGAGGAGATCTGCTTTGTGGTCCAACATCTGGAGGGCCATAAATGGCCCATTCCTGCCGTATATCCATCATCGTCCAAAACGGCTGTCTTCGGCATCTTCCCAGTATTTTGGATGCAAGATGAAGAGAGAGAGAGAATAGGCCTTCTGGCACAGATGACCTGAAATAAGAGGTTGATAAGGCAGCCTTCCCCACCCCCAAACAGACTCCCCTGCTTCCTTAAAACACACACACACACACACACACAAACACAAACACACAAACCCAGCATTTTCCTACAGTACTCCAATAATGATCACTCTAAGCCATCAAGTTGATTCCAACGAATGTCAGCTCTTCCCAGGAAGAATATGTCTGTTTGTGATACATTAATTCCAAGCTCTCAGTCAGATCAGTTAATTAGGATCCACTAATTAACAGTTCAATAGTGCCATTCCAAGGTTGAGAAACCATTGCCATTTTGTCAGCTGGATAGCGCTGTTCCTGTGTTAACAAACCATTGTCATTTCAATTTACCATCTGTGTCCTAATCAGTACACAACTCTTACCGCTATGGAAGCAAATGTCATCATCATCATTGTGTGCCCTCAAGTCAATTTTGAGTTATGGCGACTCGTTACCATTCTCTTCTGGGGGAGTCCTGGGACTGTACAGCTTGCCCAAGGCTATCTAGGCTGCCTCTTCTGGGATCAACAGCAGGGAATCAAACTCCCAACCAGACAGATATCCAAGTCACTGAGATATCCAGCCAGTGGTAATAAATGTAGAGGATATAGATTTGTGTACCCTGTGTCTGAAAAAGTGGATTTTGATCCACAAAAGTGCCCACTGAAATACAACTTAGTCTTTTAAGTGCTGAAATATTTTTCCTCCCACCTCCTTTTTAAAATCTTCACTTTTGCCAGCAAGGATCAGATCAGCATCTCTTCCAACCTCTTCAGATGCTAGAAGCCGGGTGCCCAGGACTGCCCTGGTGGAATCCAGTTTGAGACTCTAGGCGTCTTCCACTCTCTTTGGGAAGCCCCACAAGTGAAGATAATACCTATCTTTCTATCTTCAGGCATAGTTTAGAAAGAACGAGATCTGTCTCTTGCCTTAATCTTGGCTCGCCCTTCCTATTTGAGCATAACATCACCCCCGGGTAAAATAGCTAGAGATTTATTTTTATAAAAAGGCCAGGAAGGCAGCATGGAAGAATGGGTTAGAATCATCTTCCCTTTGTGCTTTCAAACTGTGTGACACAGAAACCTGGGTCACAGTGAAACACAGTGAAGGAAGCAGTTAAGATCTGGAGAGATTACAGAATGACAGTCTTAGAGATATATTAATGACCTGTTTATTGGTCTTGTGCGCTACCAGATGAAATTTTAATTATCTGTGTAACAAGGCCAGGACAGATCCATGTGCTTTCCTGCCTGTCTTTTTGAAAACGGTGGTAGTTTATTCGCACATTAACATATGTAGTAAAGTACTCTATTTCTGTACTGATCAAATAGCCATTCCAGGAGGATTTAAGTACTTCCAGAATCTGTAAATTCAAGCTAGCTGCCTCTTTCCCTAAGTGCCTGGCCCCTGCTACATATTTAAAGAAACAAATCTGCAGTGCTGATGTATGTAAAGCCGAAACACCAGGCATTGTGCATTTGATCAATGTTAGCAACAGAAAAAATATTTCCATACTCTCATGAAAGGCAAGCTCTTGTGGGAGAATTTGCAAGAGGATGGATTTACTTCTTGAAGTGTGAAAGAAGCAGTGGGCAAGCTGACATGACCGGATGAAGAAACGGCCCCTCAATTCTGTCTAAAGTTTCCGCATACACTGGGAGGTTTTTAATGACTCTTATGGATTTACATGTGCTTATGTTATATACAGCTGGCTGGATAGTTCAGGAATCTGGCTATGGAGCCCGAGGTTGGGAGCTTGATTCCTCACCATGCTTTCACGGAGAAGAGCCAGCCTGGGTGGCCTTGGGCCAGCTGCACCATCCCAGGGATCCCTCCCCCTGAGAAGAATAGATAGAGTTTTCTAGCTAGCTAGATAACTCTAGAAAAGGTCACCATAAGTCAGAACTGACTTGATGGCACACAATTATTATATTGTTATATACAGTGTAAGATATTAGAAACACACCTATTTATTATATGAGGCATTTGAAACTTTTGTTTAAGAAAATATGAACTTATCTGACCAAAAAGAGTTGATTGTAGCAAAAATAGAAATCCTAATAACAACGTCGTCCTCAGAAAACAATAACAACAACCCAAACTGGAAACAGGTAAGGAATTAAGGGAGGGAATTAAAATGGGGTGTTTGCACCAAAGACCAATGGCATGTCTCTGCAACAGGAGATCCAAAAGAAAGATGGAGGTGGAGACGCAGAAGAATTACTGTGCCTTCACAGTATATCTTGAAGGATATGATGAAGAAGGGAAAGACAGAATGGGAGACACTACTGAGAGCATTCAGGAAGCCTTTGAGAAGTTCCGAAGACGGCGGCAGGTAAGAATAGCCACGATAGAAACTGTGCCATGAAGTTGATTGTGATCAGTGGTTTAATTGTTGGTTCCTAAGTGACAAACTAGGGGTTGGGAACATCACTCCCATTGGGCTAAATCTGGCCACCTTGAGGATGACATCCAGCTCTTTAGTTTTTTCCCCCAGAAGGCTGTGTTCTCTTGTTCTCTGTGGCCCCATCATGTGGTTGGTGGTTCTCCAGTTCTACAGATGTTTTTCCTCATTCTTGAATCATGGATGGACCATTGGAAAAGTAAGGCGTTAAGGGTCAAAGTGAGCTAAGAAACCAACAAGGGTGTCAGATGTAGTGTCCTTCAGGTTTTTATTGCATCACAGATACCCTATATAAAAATCGTGAGGAGCAGATCTGGGTTTACACACATACATTATTCGAATGCTCCATTGGGTCTGGGATTGTATTAGGTGTACCATGGTGCAGGTGACCCACATTTTAGATTTAGCTTGGGGTTCTCCACCGTTGCTGTACTTACTTTGCCAGGTGCTTCATTGCCTTGATCCACCTAGACATTTGCTTACACTCATGACTCAGGAGGAACCCTAAGAAGGAATCTCATTGACTGGCCTGGTCATGTCATCCCCACGTTCCACAGAACAAGGAGGGCTTTGGCGGGATCCCCTAATGGCAAGAGAGTCCTCCGGAACAACCAGGACAGTGGTTCCCAACCTTGGGTCTGCAGATGTTCCTGCACTAAATCCACCAGGAACCTTCCCCACTAGTTGTGCTGGCCAGGGTTTCTGGGAGTTGTAGTCCAAGAACATCTGGGGACCCAGGGTTGGGAAGCACTGCTCTAGGAATTCTGAAGGATCAAAATGGCCCCTGGAGCCACCCGATTTACTAGATTTTTCCAATTCCTTAACAGTTCCATGAAATCAAACAGTGACCCATGATTGTCAGCTTCAAGCTGAGAGAAAATAACTTCGGCTGATTACAATCTATTACAATCCTAAGCCCACCAAGGATGTTTGCCATGGTGACTTCAGGGTTCTAGGACTGATACAATAGGACCTCCATGTCAGTGGGAGGATAACGTCCACCATCTCTTGTGGATGCCTGAAACCATGGATATAGGAACACATACCCCATTCTCTCTCTCTGTCTCTAATATAATGACGCAGCACAAAGGCAGAAGGCATTTGCATGTCATACGTAAGGGCTGTGACAAACTGGGGAAAAGTGAGACCGCGGATACCGGTTTATGTGGATATGGGGGCCTTACTCTAGTCCAAAGCAACCGCTTATCCATAACACTCTTTTTTCCTCCCCTTTCCCTTCATCTGCCTAGCAAATCTGATATTAACAGAGCATGTACTACTGTTACTATGGAAGCCGTGAGCTCCTGAGCCACCTCTGTCTTAGCAGGAACATGGAAGCCCCCCCCCTCGACCCCCATCACAGTCAACGCAAGGCAGCTTCTGGGTGACAGGCAAATAAATAAATATATCGATAAATAATATACGTCAATATATATTTCATGAATGTGCTTAACTGGCATTGAAGTTGGTGACGCTGACCCAGTTTCTCAAGTGACAAGTTCAAGACAAGCTGCTAACTTCCACGAAGAGGAGCTGGGTGTGATGCTGAGAATCCATGCGTGCCTTGAGATAGACAGGCAGAGAAATAAATAAATCCAAACAGGTTTATCTTGTGTCCCAGGTGGCCAATGGTAATCTCCAAATGGACACAATTTAAAAAGATGGATGTATATAGAAATAACCAATTTATTCCACTGAGGCGACTCATTGCTGTTATGCCTCTACTCTATTCCCTTACCTGGATACTCACACCGCCGGCTGCTTTATTTATTTATTTTTTAAATCCAGACAAGCTAGTCCCCTCCTCCCATTTATATTTAAAGAAAGGAGGTTTAATTCCTCCTTGATGTCTCCCGAGAGGTGAAACGGTTGTCTTGATGCTGAAAATTCTACCCAGCACATAGTAATTCAAGGCATTATTAAAATTAATGATTGTTTTCCCCTCCGTATAGATTTGTGTACCCTGTCTGCAGATGAAAGCTCTTGGCGCAAATTGTATCTGCTCGGTGTTGTATGTATGGATTTAATTGTGTGTCTTGGTAACAGCCTGAGCTGCTAATTAAGCCTGATGAAGTTCATTCGTATATTAGATTTTCCTTTGTGGCGTCTGGTCTTGTTTTTAAAGTGGTTTTCCTCCTTTCTACCATGCTGTTTTCACTTACTTTAGCTAGAAGCAAGAAGGATAGAAATGATTCTGGAGATAGGAGAGTGGATAAGAAAAGTTACATTCTGAGCCCAATCCAGGGGATTCTGAGTTTGTGTGGTTGAAACGTAACGTTTCCAACCTCTGGGTAAAAGAGATCAGGAGCAAGGTTTCAAAGCATTAGCAAGAACTGGTTGTAACAGAAGAAGAGAGAAAACGTGATGCAGGATTTGGCAACGTGTGGCTGTCCAGATGTGATCAAGCCCTAACACCCATCACCCCTAAACAGCACAGCCAATGGGGAGATGGGTCATGGGAACTGTTCTTCCATCAAATCGAGTCATTCCCCATTCTGGGGCTACAAATGTTCCATGGAGTGAGGGGGAGGTGAAAAATGGCCCCTGGATGCCCAGATGTTGCCTACCTCTGTTGTAGGACATGTTGTTGTCTAGAGCAGTGGTTCCCAGCCTTGGGTCTCTAGGTGTTCTTGGACTACAACTCCCAGAAGCCTTCACCACTCACGGTGCTGGCCAGGATTTCTGGGAGTGGCCCTCCAAGAACATCTGGGGACCCAAGGTTGGGAACCATGGGTCTCTAGGCCAAATGTCATGGAGATCTATTCTGGAAGAGCGGGATGAACTCCACGGTATGGGATGATGTCAGAAGCTGTGGCTAGGAGAAGAGGAGGTGCCCCAGCTTGAAGGTCCTGTGGATCCAGAACAGAAGTCTACATCTTTGTTTTTCCAGCCCTGGCCCATCCAGAGGCCTTATCTGAGGGCCACATTGTTATCACTTCCAACTGAAGCCTCACAATGCCATTGGAGGTGACTGTGTGCGACTCAACTTACAGTGAAGATCTGAGCAGAACCTCCTCAGGTTTTCTGGTCCATCCTTGACTTGCTCTGATCACTCTCTTTTAAATGAGGTGGTTGTTGATGGATACGGCCATCAGCTACGGGCTGCCCACTCTGGCCTAGAGGGTGTGTGCTGAATTTATGGACGGCTCTGTAAACCCATGTTTTATGATGGTTGTAATCTGTAGATGTGAGCCATTTCCACATATTCCCAAGGAAGTCAATCATAAAGGGACGCCTTCCCCAAGGAATCCTGCATCCTTTCCTATTGGAAACGAAGATGTTGATTTTACAAGATTGGTAATAATATTAGTCAAAAGATCCAGCCTCTCGAGTGGGTGATGGAAGTTGGACTGATCCGATCGGTCCCCAAAGCAAATTCCTGTGCTTGAGATATAACCCTTGTAAAAATCCTCACCGTGGTGGTTAATTTGCCACCACAGCATTGCGGCTTGCTGGATGATGAGGATGATGCTCGGTGTGAAAAGATTGGCACACGGGCGACTGTGTTTCCTATTTCATTACATGGGAACCAAAGCAAGGTGACAGCGGGTTGTATTTTGGGAAAGGAGACAGGTTACACTAATATCACGGTCCCACCTAAAGGCCAAAATGGATTTAGGATGCCCAGCGGAAGCCGATGCCTTCCTGCTGAGTATATTTTCTTTATCTCTAATCTGTGCCTTGTAGTCCCAGACCACATGCAGCTTGGTCTGCCGGTACAAAAAATGACAGTTTTGAACTTCCTCTCTCATGGAGGAATCCGAGCTGCTGGGATGGAGCCTGTGATCTTTTCCTTTCTCTCTGCAACTCAGCCTTGTTCAGGCGCTTCAGTATTCTGGGAATATTCTGTGCTTGAGCTTCTCTGCTGATTGCCTGGGAAGAGAAAGAATGAGTGCAGAAGGGGGGGGGGAGCATTAAGCTCTTGACAGAACAAGAATATGGGTCTTTTTTTCCCAGCAGAAATGAGTCTAACTCTTATTTGAAGTGGGCCGCCTCTCCTTAGCGAAGCCAATTGCGAGCAAGGGCAACGCTGCTGCATGAGTTGATCAGACCTTGGATCAGAGAGAAAGAGAGACAGAGAAAACAAGAATATGGGTCTTCTTCTCCAGCAGAAATGGGTCTAACTCTTATTTGACATGGGCCACATCTTTCCTCTCTGTGTCCAGCCAGACCTTCCTTTTTGGGACCGATACCCTCTGTCAGGAAGCCATCTGCTCCAAGGAGGAGATGGAATGGCAGGCAGGAAATATCAGGGGGAACGAGGGCCTTGTATCCCACTTGTCTTGCTGCAGGAATATGCTTCATAAACTTGAAATACGCGGACAGCCGGGCTGACAGTAAAAACTGAAGGCTTGTTACATTGCTTTTTGCTGTTGAATTCTCAATTACTGGAGCTGACAAGGCAGAAAGGAATCAAGGAAGGTGGAACATCTCTCTCTCTCTCTCTCTCAATCTCTCTCTCTCTGTATACACACTTTTCCCCCCATGTCATGTCAACAGCCAAAAGAATTATCTTCCCCTGCTTCAATGCAGGTGGGTGGCAAAAACTGGGCAACTTCCACACTTTCATAGAAGTCTCGTTCACTCCGGAAAATAAAGATGGGAATCGCCCTTTTTTTTGAACGAGTGCTAGCCGTAGTTTATCAGCAGTTTTTCCTCCATGCAATGCGAAATCTGTTTTTTGTTTCGTTTTGTTTTTTTGAAATCTAGGCCACAAGATATGTTGATGGGCGCGAGCCGCAGTGCCTTTGGGAGGGCTCAGACATGTTTGTAGTGAGTTGTCTCATCATCCTCACCTCTGTATGGAACCTCCGGGTTCAGTGGTAGTCTGTGCAACAAATAGGAGATAGGTGGACCTCAGTGGTCAACCACGTTAGGTGCCTCACATCCCACTAATCGCACCATCCTTCACACCACATCCTTCAATTAAC